AAAGATTTTATTTATTAGAGAGAGAGAGCACAAGCAGGGGGAGCAGTGGGCAGAGGGAGAGGCAGGCTCCCGCCAAGCGGGGAGCCTGATGCGGGGCTTGATCCCGGGACCCTGAGATCATGACCTGAGCTGAAGGCAGATGCTTGACTGACTGAGCCACCCAGGCATCCCTCTGCTTAAAGTTCTTGAGTGAATCTCTCTCAGGTTAATTCAACAAAACTGCTGGTCTCTGCTTACTATTTTAGCCTCTTTTGTAGATTTCCTCCTCCTTTACTCATCATCACCGTGACTAACATTATGCAAGAGCACAGAATGAACACACTGGTTTTAGAGCTTTACATGCATTATCTCATCCTATATGAGGAGGTGGGGTAAACACTATTATTTTATTTATATATTATTTTATAGCCAAGGACACTTTAGTATAAAGTTCTGAAATTCCCCACATCTAGATTTCTTTTATGCTTTTCCCCATGTTTCCATTGTCTGGAAGACTCTTCAATCCCCTTCTCTAGTTGCTTCCTGTGGCAGGCTAAATAATGCCCCCTTGTCCCACAGAGACATCCACATCCTAATCCCGAGAACCTCTTACCTTACATGGTAAAAGAGAATTTACAGATATGATTAGGTTAAGAATTTAAGAATTTTGAAATGGGGTCATTATCCTGGATTATTTGAGTGGGTCCAATGTAATCACAAAGGCCCTCACAAAGAGGGAGGCAGGAGGATCAGAGTGAGAGAGAAGATGAGATATGGAAGTCGAGGTCAAAGTGATGCCATTGCTGAAAGGGGGCCTATGAGCCAAGGAATGTATGTGGTCTACAGAAGTAGGAAAGGGTAAGGAATAGATTCTTCTCTAGAGCATCCAGGAGGAATACAGCCCTGGAACACCTTGATTTTGGACTTCCAATGTCCAGTGACCAGAACTGCAAGAAAATAAATTTGTGCTGTTTTTTAAAATTGATATATAATTGGCATATAACATTATATTAGTTTCAGGTATAAAACATAATTATTTGATTTTTGTACATATTGTGAAATTATCACCATGATAAGTTTAATTAACATCCATCACCACACAGTTACATTTTTTTTTCTTGTGATGAGAACTTTTAAGAACTACTCTCTTAACAACTTTCATTAAGTATAGTCACCATGCTGTACAAATATATGTTGTTGTAAGCCACTAAGTTTGTGGCAGTTTGTTACAGCAGCAATAGGAAACACTTCTCAGGGAAGCCTTTTCTGATAACCGTCCCCGCCAATTGGATTAGCCACTCCTCCTCAATGTTTGCTCAACTCCCTGTCCTTGCCTCTCCCATAGCATTGGACTTGCTGCATTGCATTTCCTTGTTAGGAGCCCATCTCTACCTCTAGGCTGTATGTTCCTCCAACAGGGATCATGTTATATTGTTCCTCCCTATCCCCAGAGCCTAACTTAAAGATACACACCTGCGGCTCAATAGATATTTGTTGGATGATTGAATGAATGAATATGACTTCTCAATCAAAGAGGGCTAAGGTTTTGTATTTATATTAAAATCATAGGTAGTGGCTATTTAGTTTAAAATGCAACTGAATTTGTCTTCTTAGCAAGAAAAGTAAAAATAAAAAAGGCACAGATTGGACTTTCCTGAATGCCCCATAAACAAAAAAGGAAGAAATGGTTACCTCAACAACAATGAGAAATCTGCTTTCCTTAGAGAAACAAAGTAACAAAGCCACAGAGAGTGAAATAATTAAGAAATTTTGAGGTTTAGCAGGGGCTTCTAAGTTTTTTATACAGTGAGACATATGCCTAGACATGACATATGTGCCTGCTACCAGAAGTTTTTATTCATGACAATAGTGAATTAAATGTGGCTGTACTGGGCTTGCTATCATAGCATGTGACTCATCATGAGTCAGGGCCACATGACATTTTATTTATTCTTATCTTCTTTTGTTGTAAATCTTTGTTACACCCCAGTTTCACAATGTAATTTTAGTATGCTGATTCTCAAAGGCAGAGGTCGTTAGAGAATTTAGAGGGATCATTACAGAGTCACCTGAGTTTCTCTCCCATCCTCTACCTTACCACCTGTTCAGAACTCTGGCATGGGGGCTGTGTTCTCTGCTCAGGGTACTACAAGGCTGAAACCAAAGAGTCAGCTGAACTGAGTTTTTGTCTGGAGGCTCTGGGGAAAAATTCACTTCTAAGCTCATTGGTGTAGTTCGCAGAATTCAGTTCCTTGTGGTTGTAGGATTGAAGTTCCATTTACTTGCTGGCTGTCAGTGGGACCTGCTCTGAGCAACTAAAGGCTACTGTTAGGTCTCTTCCCCTGTGGCCACCATTGTTACTTCACAACATGGTATGTTTGCTTTCTTCCAGGCCAGCCAGAGCACAGTCCTCAAACTTCACCTCCTGCAACCAGCCAGAGAGAAAACTCCCTACTTTTTTTTTTTTTAAAGACTTTATTTATTTGAGAGAGAGAATGAGATAGAGAGAGAGCATGAGATGGGGGAGGGTCAGAGGGAGAAGCAGACTCCCTGCTGAGCAGGGAGCCTGATGCGGGACTCAATCCCGGGACTCCAGGATCATGACCTGAGCTGAAGGCAGTTGCTTAACCAACTGAGCCACCCAGGCGCCCCAAAACTCCCTACTTTTTAAAGAGTTAATACAGTTAGGTCAGGCCCACCTAGATAATGTCCAGGTAAGAGCTGGTAAGAGCTCAATGAATGATGAGCTAAAACTCCAGAAGAGCAAAGGCTCTTCTTCAGCTGAAGTAGTAGTTTCTAGATTTTACAGAGTGGGTAAATTGGCCATTCATATTTTGAAATTTGTGCATTGTCTAGAAGATTAGAAATCCAAAGCTTTAGCTAAGTTTTCTGTTATTCAGAGTACCAGATGTCTTAAGCAACAACTGTGTGTTTTGTAACCACTTAATAGAGAATGATTAAAAAAAAAAAAGCCCTGTTATATGTAACTGATGAATTATTGAACTCTACATCTAAAACTAGTCATGTACTATATGTTGGCTAATTGAATTTAAATTAAAAAAAAGGGGGCACCTGGGTGGCTCAGTCGGTTGAGTGTCTGCTCTAGGTTTAGGTTGTGATCTCAGAGTCCTGGGATTGAGCCCTGCATCAGGCTCCCTGCTCAGCAGGGAGTCTGCTTCTCTCTCTGTCCACCCCCACCCCTCCTGACTTACGCTTTCTTTCTCAAATAAATAAAAAATAAAATCTTTAAAAAAATAAATTCTAAAAAAATAAACAAGATGTTAGTTGATTAACTAACTAAATAAATAAAAATAAAAGCCCCCAAGGAGCAAGGTACTTACTTATTTTCTCCTAGACCCCATTTCTGTAATTCCAGTTACCATCACCATGTGACAAGGAAGGCCCATCAGTGTTTTCTCTGTGGATAGGTTACACCTGGCAAGGTAAGAAGAGAGCTGAAATGAGCCTTTGATTTAGTCAATTATGATGTTGACTATAAAAAAATATTTTAAGGGATGCAAGGCTGGCTCAGTTGGAGCATGCAGCTCTTAATCTCAGGGTTTTAAGCTTCAGCCCCATGTTGGGTGTAGAGATTACTTAAAAAAATATATTTTTTTAAGTATTTTAAAATAACTATTATATTTATATTTTAGCTTGTTACATAATGAAACATCAAAATAATATATCCTATGATCAACTTCATTAATTTATTTATTCTTTTGACCCCAAGCAAAAAATTTCCAGGCAACTTTCCAATGCCATCCATCAGCTGTTTTTTCCTTACATCCTAGTTATTAAATCTTCATGTGTTGCTACTCCAAGCCTATAATAATTGAGGAAATTGACTAAGGTATCCTCATTCTGCTAATCCCTGCTTATTTTTCACAAAATTACTAATCATCAGGGAACATCGGAAACCATCATTTCTGAGTCAGAAAAACAGAAAATGGGGAAAGTTGTGGATGACAAGAACTCTTGGAACATTAGACAATCTGTCTTTTATCTGGAAAGAGATGGATTTGATATACTGTCATTATAAGTTCAAGGTGCCCCAAAGCTAGGATTATTTGATTTGAAATACGTAACTTTTAAAAACTAAGACAAAGTAAAAGGAAAAAAGTATAAAGGATATTTTTGTCTTTGTATCTTACTCTATGTCACGATAATTTTTGTATTTATGCAACACCTCAATTAAAGGAAGCCCACCTTTCAAGGCCCTAAACATAAAAAACAAAACATTTTAGTTTGATGTCATTTTAGGCATCAAGGTCACTTTGCAAGGGAAGAAGTGACTAGGTTATGACAATGGGTCCTGCCCACAGATGTACTTTTCAAACTTTAGAAACAGTGAAGGCAATACATTTCACCAGCAGATAGCTTTTGCCCTATTGGAATGCTGCTTGAAGCCACCACGCTAGAGCCAATCCATCCTGCCATAGAATCTATCCTGCTATGCAGAAGAGACCTGACAGCCAGTGCCAAAATGACAGATTTGTAAGGCCCACATTCCAGTGTAGTCAACCTATATGCAATTACATGAGTGGGTCCAGCAAAACCTACAGAACTGACATAGGCAGGCCAGGTCTGAGGACCCAGAGGGGGGTCCCACAGGACAAGCCAAGAGAGTCCTTCCTTGGCTTCACACAGGATAGAAATCAAATTCAAGCCAGGAGGAAGTGAAAGCAGAGTTTACTGAGTTGTGTAAGTGATTGAGTATAGCAGATGGAGTGTCTGGGAGACTTGGAAAGGGAAGGAGAATGAGTCTCTTTATTGCTTGGGGTTAGGGGTTTATATTGGAAAGAGGTCCAGGGTACGTGTTTCTTCAGGAATCCAGGGCAGGGTCTGATCAAAGGTGAGTGACAGGTGAACAATAGGTGTTATTTCAAAAATCACTGAAGATAGGGGGTATTGATATCAGCGTCAGCAGAGGTTTGTTCAAAGCTAATGTCCTGGAACACATTTAGGATCCAGTTCTTGGATGTCATCAGGTATTTGGGGGCCTATGATGAAATTCAAAGAATGATTAACTTTCTTGCTTTCCCGTTGGAATGGGAACATAGCTTCTTTGACTTATTCAGATGCAAGGTGAAATATAGAACATGAGGAAATGGGGCCTGGCAGAAAAAGCAGAGATGGAGCCTTTCTAAAAAGGAAGTCCCTTTAGTTTCCCCTCTCAGAACTATCCAACCAACCCACAGAACAGTGAGCATAATGAATTCTTGTGAAGTCACCAGGTTTTAGGGTGGTCAAAACAGATTAGAATAATTGAGGAAGACTTCATGGAACTCAACATGAACAAAACTTTTTTCTTGACTTTCAGTCTCGACTTTCAGACTTCATTTTTTCTAATAATGATGCCACCACTTCTTTTACTCTGTTTTGAAACAGATGCACTTTTTTTCTTCCTGTCTTTCTCTCCCTGATATATAGTGTCTAATTCTTATCAATTTTTCCTTAATGATATCCTTCTCAATTCTCTTTTCTATTACCACTGTCACCATGTTCATGCCAATTTAATAATGAAAGTACAGCGGGCACCTGGGTGGCTCAGTCATTAAGTGTCTGCCTTTGGCTCAGGTCATGATCCCAGGGTCCTGGGATTGAGTCCCACATCGGGCTCCCTGCTCAGTGGGGAGCCTGCTTCTCCCTCTCCCACTCCCCCTGCTGTGTTCCCTCTCTCGCTGTCTCTCTCCCTCTGTTGAAAAATAAATAAAATCTTAAAAAAAAAAAGAAAGTACAGCAATGATTTTTTTGCTTTCAGTCTTCAGCAGTTCAATTTATCTTGAATCCTCATGTAACTGTCATTGTACCAAAATATTGTTCCAATTACTCTTCTTTCCACCAAAAAAATTCTTCAATGGCTTCCTTTGCCTACACAAGAATGTTCTTGATCATCAGCTTTATCTATTGAATCACCCCCTTCCCAATTCTGATTGCTATGTATATTTCAAGGCATAGCCTAGCTTTCAAATTATCATTTTTCTCCAAAAAAAATCCCAACTCCAGCCAAACTAGCTTACTCATAGTTTCATAGTTTTGTTTTTTTTTTTTTTAATATTTTTGCTGTTGATTTTTTTTTCTAAATGAATCCCCATGATCTAGAAATGTCCCATTTAAATTCTACCTTCTATGTGAGGCTTCTTCCCTAATTATTCCCAAATTATCTTTACAAACTCCTTTAATATTTTATTGTCCAAATCATTCAGTTAATACCCACGACTATATAGTCATTTATTATAGTTACATTTATTATGTATACATGTTTTATCTACACACCTAAATTGTAACCTGGAGATCAAAGTCTACATTTTATGCTTTATATAAAGTGTTGTCAGTAAATATTAATTGATATTGAAAGAAGCAGTAAGATTTGAGGAAGGGGGAGAGAAGGCCCATTCTAGAGGGATAGGAGCAACAAGTAAGAATATGTATGGTTTATTCCAGAGATGGGAAAGATAGTATCAAATAAAGGGTCAATTTAATTACCCAGCAACAACAACAATTCAGCACTCAGCTATCATTCTTTACCTTGCTTACTTTTTTTCCAAGGCACAGTGATGCTCATTTATGCCTCAGGACTTTTACACTGTTGTGGAAAATATGATCACAGAAATAGAATTTTAAAAATACTTTGTTGTTTGCAAAAACTGTGTTACAGGAAGGAAAGAGGGGGAGTGTTCACTAACCGGAGGCAAATTACCACCATTCGCCAGTGCCAGGATCTTTTTTACACCTAAGTTGTCCTCCCCATCCCCCAGTTGCCAAGTGGTTAGCAGGGGAGGAAATGCCTCAAAACACCCAGCGGGGTGGGGGAAGTATGAGCCGTGTAGTCAAAAGGAGAGTAATGCAGATGGCATAGGCCAGTGGAAGAGTCATGAAAAATAAAGCTAGTATCATTGGTAGGGGCCAAGTTACATGACCTAGCAGAGTCTTATAGTCTAGATTTTAAATTTTGGTTTTTAACTAAATAGCAGTAAACAGGCACTGAAGAGTAGGATGAATCAGGGGATGTCTGAACAAACCTCACTTAGCTGGGGGAGATGGTGGGTCATTTTCTTTATTCAAGTGGGAAGCATGACACAAATTATCTACCTGGTGGTCAAGACACAAGGGGGAGTAGCAGTGGGTACGGTCCCAGGGTATGCAGCCGGATTTAAATTTGGAATATTTATTCAAGTCCCAATATCTTTATTTATTTACTTTTTTAAGCCCCAACATCTTTAGTATTAAAAGATATGTAACTGACTTACCTTATTCCAATATGGTTTCCACAGTATTGCTAAAATTTCAGCTTCACTTCATTTGAATTGCAGCAGCTGTGTGCAAGTATAGCACCAGTAATGTGTGAAACTACTCCGTCCAGTGGGAAGCAACACAACTTATAGCTGGTTTAAAAGTCCCTTACCCAGCGATCTAGAACAGACTGAATAGGGTTCCTATCACAGTAAGCTGTACAGGGTACTAGCCGTCAACTCGGCTCACTTTTGTTCTTGCCATCAATTGTAGTAATTAGTAACCTCTCCACTTGTCAGCATTCTTCTGTTGAATAACGCTTGTCCACACTGGGAGCTGAATCTTGCTCATGACAATTTAGTAAATATATAGCTCTAGGTTTGCTTTCCAAGGTACATTGAATACATTACTGGACTCTCCTCTAACAATAGGAGAAGATTTGAAGTTAACAAAGGGGTTAGGAAATTATATATCAATGTAATTAATCCAATTAATGTGTTAGTGTCTCTGTGAAGATAATGGCTTATAGGATCATCAAAACTATTAGTGCCACCTAATTGGCAAAGGAAAAATGATATGTATAAGAGGAAATACAGTGTTAACTTTAAAGGGTCAGGCATGTAACTTGGATCCTATGAATTGAGGTGAATTGGAACGTATTTCAGTTTGTAGATACTGAAATGGAACAATTCATTTGAACAATAATTCAGTTGAAAGGGAATGATCTAGTGCTAGGTGATAGATTAATACAAGGGGGAGAAGCCATAGTTTGACTTTAAAAAACCTAAGAAGGCAAAAATAAATTAAAAACCCACTTCTGATGTTCTGCTCTTGAATTTCTGAACATTTTTACTTTATTTATTTATTTATTTATTTATTTGAGAGAGAGAGAATGAGAGACAGATAGCAAGAGAGGGAAGAGGGTCAGAGGGAGAAGCAG